CAGCTGCAGCCCTAACACCACTTTTAACAGAAACTAAAGGTTTCAGAAGTGGTTTCACTATCATGTCATCATCCTATAATAATATATCTGAAGAAAGGCTTCACTGCTGTATTACAGAGCTGTCTAAAGTCTATTTTCTGTCTGCAACAATAAGCTGTAAAAGCAGAAATCTGTGAGGGAGGCTGACTTTTGTGCCTAAGAATAAAAAGGTGGATACTCAGCGGCTGACTGCTCAAATATTGGAAATAATAAAACAGTAAAATGTCCTTTCCCCTGAGGCAGCAGGGTATTCATTTAAAGTTTGATCGTTAACGGTACTTTAAATTCCAATTTTAGTCATTGTAATACAGAGTTAAAGGCTCTGTCACACAACGTTTTAGACAATAAATGCCAACTCATAAACATTTTAAAGGCATCTATGTTGAAGGTGGAATTATAAAAAATTAACTGGAAGCCACTTTTAGGTGCGTACAGTCTGCACTGCTAACTAACTGATCAAATATTAGTAATTTAAACATAAAAGTTGACAAAAGTTGTCTAAAACATTATAGGGCCTGTTCTGTTTTTAACACTCTGATTAGTTTCTCACAGGTTCACAGGTTTGATGGAAGATGATTTGGGTAAATATTGTTTCTTTACATAAATAATGCATTTTAATGTATATTGTTGTGGTTTCTAACAGGAGGCTACCTGGCCCACAGCCTGGCCATCATGACGGATGCGGCCCACCTCCTGACAGACTTTGGGAGTATGATGGTGAGCCTGTTCTCTCTGTGGATCTCATCCAGACCACCAACCAAAACCATGAACTTTGGTTGGCACAGATCAGGTCAGCAGAATGGATCAGACTCATCTGAACGACTTTATTTGGTTTATTTTGGGTGCTACTCTATTTACCAATAACACTGGCTGTCTTTGAAGTATAACTTTTTAAAGGCTTGAATTCTTTAGTTTCTTTGTTTCCTGCTCGTTTCCACAGAAATCCTTGGAGCGTTCATATCAGTCATGTCCATCTGGATAGTTACCGGCGCTCTGGTCTATTTAGCCATTGAGAGGATTGTACGCAACGACTACGAGATTGAAGGTCAGGTGATGTTACTGACCTCCGGCTTTGCCGTCATCGTCAATATAATGTGAGTTATTCCTACAAAAAGAGCTGTCTACCTAACAAATTAAAGTGACAAGTCTTTTAAATTCATTTCAGTGTTAAGTGTTAAAGGTTTTCTTTTGAAAACAACATCTATGCGGCCTTTCATTTTAGTGAAGGCTAACTACGATGGCGTATTAGGGCCACTTTGCCGATGGGGAAAAAAAACAGGAGAAGCAAATCTCTGAGAATAAACTCAGAATTTCTGAGATTAATTTCAGAAATTTTCGAGAAAAAAACAGGCAATTCTCGTATTTTGAAAAGTCACAAATTTGCGAGAAAAACCTCAGAAATTTCCATAATAAAAGGCAGAAATTTGCGACATTTAAAGGCACAGTGTGTAGGTTGTTTTCAGCGACATCTAGTGGTTGAGTGGTTGAATTGTCCTCCCTGGTCCTCCCCCCACCCCCACCCCCCGCTTCCAAGCACAAAGCAGTTGCTACGGTGTCTCTCAGGTGTCAAAAACCTTTGATAATTCCAACCGCGATGTCTACCAGCAGCTTCAGGGCTAGTGATGTTTCAAGTGGTAAGATTATGAGCTTTAATAAGTAAAATTATCCCAGCTACAATGACAGACAACAAATATTACATTTATAGTATTACAACTAAAACCGTTTTTGATGCCGCCACCGCAGTTTGTCCTTCATGAGCCTTCGTAGACAAGGTCTTTGTCTGCAATGATTAGACATGTTTTTTTTATTAGTGTCATTAGTGATTATCTCAATTTCGGCAAAAAGAATTGAGAAAACCCTACACACTGTGCTTTTAAACTAGATATTTTCTGACATGATAAAGTCAGAAATTTACAAGAAGATAACTCGTAAATTTATGAGAAAAAAACTGAAGTTTTCAGGAATGGCTAAAGGGCGATTCCATCTGTTTATATATCACTGTTTATGCATAAAAAGTGCTGAAATCCCCAAATTTCCTTAAGCTTCACATATCAAACATATGTTTCACAAATCACACACTTGGTTTCAAATATTCTGCAATAAGTGTAGAATAATCTAGTCCCGGTTTGAAGTCTCTATGTGTTTTAGTTTTTAAACTAGCGTGGATTAAAGATGCTCAAGGTAGTGAAAGCAGGTGGAATCGCCCTTTAGCCGTTCCTGAAAACTTCAGTTTTTTTCTCACAAAATTATGAGTTTTCTTCTTGTAAATTTCTGACTTTACTATGTCAGAAAATATCTAGTTTAAATGTCGCAAATTTCTGCCTTTACGGAAATTTCTGAGTTTTTTTCTCGCAAATTTGCGACTTTTCAACATAAGAATATTGCCTGTTTTTTCTAGAAAATTTCTGAAATTAATCTCAGAAATTCCGAGTTTTTTCTCAGAGATTTGCTCCTTTTTTTCATCTGCAAAGTGGCCCTAATACGCCGTCGTAGTTAACAGTAGTTGTGAGCCTTAAATTTTATTTCTGCAGCTGCTATAGCTGTCCAAACTGGCAACATTTATTCCTTCAAGGATTTCTTTCATGTCCAATTTAAGTTGATTTAAGATAGGAAAAAGCTTTAAAGTATAAAAATGCAAATTTACATTCACTTGTTTCGAGTTTGCTCACTGTGGTGACCCCTGCAGACTGGCAAAAGAAAAAAAAACACTTAGTTTTTTGTGGTTTAGTTACACCAAACCATCTGCAGACACCTCTCTACTTAAGATTAGCTCTGACAAGCTAATCCTCATCGTATTTCCACACAGTTTCCTCTGCTGAAGACAGGTGTGTATAGATTTTGACATAACTATGTCRTAGATGTATTGAGGCAGAGCCACTTTTAGTTACGGATGAACTCCATGGTCACCGGTCAACAGACCTGAACGGTGTCCTTGGGTTCGTAGTGAGGTCCAGTCCATCTGTTTTATAATTAAATGTCACTTCTGTCATGATTTAGATGTCCTTTAGGTGCTAAAAAGCTAATGATGGTTGATTGCAGCAGCTCATACCCATTTATTTCAAACTCTATAGACCAGGGGTCTCAAACTCACAGGGGCCATATGGGCATTATGGTGGCCGTCAAACTGCCAGCTGCAATTAACTTTGACGTTTAATGTTTAACTTCGTCTAAATACGTCTATCGTCTCATTGCTATGTTTAAGCACTGCTAACAGACACTAACTGAGCTCTACCTGGTATTTCATGCATAGAAACAGTGTTTTAACACGTCCTCTATTAAACATTGAAAAGCTCTACATGTACAACTGACTAAATGTGAAATAAATAAAACAAGTATTATTAAAAGTAAAAGTAAGAGAGTTTTAAAAAGAAAAATAAGTAGGTCCTCTGGACCGTTTCTTCGTTACTAGCTGCGTTTCCATTGCAAATGTTCACAAAACTTTCTTGATATTCTGTTAATGTCGAAAAACACAGTTTCACAACTGCWGWGTTTCCATTAAGTAAGAAATGTTATTAAAGTCACGCGTGAATACGTTTATTCTCGCGATAAGTCATTACAAACATGGCGGTGATGGAGGTAAACACATAGCATGTTGCTACCACGACACTAGCGCTCATCATCAGAGGAGACGTCGGCRTCTTTTATCGAGGCTTTCCAGAGACAAGTCCCTACTTGGGAGCGGCTACGTATGCTGTGTTTTTGGGAAATTGTAGTCGGTGAGTTTACTATTTTATAC